AACTCCTGTTAACGATGAAGCTTCAGATTAAGTTTTTCTTTGATCAACGACTACATTTACAACAAGATCTCGCATGTTTTGGGAAACGGAATTTCGCGGCATGAAGATTCAGATTGAGTTTTTCGTGGCAATTAAGTTTCAGATTAAATTTTTCTTTGATCAACGATCAACCTCAAAACAAATTTTCGCTTATTTTGGCAAACAGAATTTCGCTGCATGTTTTATTGAAAATCTAATATCCTCATTCGCTAAGTATTTTAATAGGAAATCATGGTTGTTTTAATTATCATCAAGCATGTTTTAATTGAAGATCATGGTTTTTTTTGCCAATACAGCATGTGTATACAAAGTATGTAAAAAAAAATATGGTTTTGCATCCATTTTTTTTTTTTTTTTTTTTTTTTTAATTTTAATTCACCTCCTCAAGGCCGAGAAGGCCACTACAGACGAGGAGGCTACTTATTTGTGGTTATAACCCTCTCTCAACTCTATAACTCCGAAACGCGAACCTTGACGAGCAAGGCCGCTGCGCGGAGAAACGAGTTGAGCGCGGTACTACCAGGGACGTGGTGGGGATTGAACTCGGAACCACTCGTTTATGAAGCGAGCGCTCTACCACTACACCACAACCGCTTTTAAAACAAACGTGACATCCATTCAAATTTAAAATAAATTCCATTAAATTAAAATAAATTAATATAATATTAATAAAAATAAATTTATATAATGTTAGATAAATAAATATATAAAGAAGACCTTTTTTTAAAAAATAATATAGAATGTTGAGATTGCGCATGCGTTAAATGTTTTAAATGAAAATCACGATTGTTTTAATTGAAAATCACGATTGTTTTACATTGTTTTAATTGATTGTCGCGGTGTTTTAAATGAATGTCATCGTTGTTTTAAATGGTTGTCATGATTGTTTTAAATGGATGTAAAAACCGGTAACAACTTTTATATACGCTTACATTGTACCTTCTTTTTTCTCAACTACATATAACGATTTCTTAATAACTCGTTAACTTCTCGATTACGTGTACATTTTCTAAATTACATGTTTTGTTTTTCAATCACATATTACGATTTCATAGTTAAAACTTTCATGCTCCTACGTCTTGAAAAGATTTATTTTTTAAAAAAAGTATTAATTGAACATTAAATACAGCGTAAGAATTCATAGAAAACTGCGGTTAGTAGACCTTATTATTCGATTTTATAAGCATTTTTTACTTTTTTCTATTAATTTTTTTTTGAAAAAGTTTTTTGAATAAACAAGCTTGAGAAACTTTCCAGCACTCTTTAAAAGCAAAGCTTAAGATATTTAAACAACTGATTTTTTTGTTTATAAAGTATATACTTAAAAAATTCCGTGAAAAAATATTTACACTAATATTGATTTTATGGCATTTGTTTCAATTTCTGGCTCATTGTGTATAAGCAAATTTCTTGTGGTAATTGCACTCCTAAAACGAAATCCCGATCTCAACTGGCGTAAAAATATGTTAATTTGTTTGCAAAGGAGATGCCCGAATGGGATGCCCGAATAGAACAACAATTAAAAATTAAAAAAGCAAAATAAAAATTAAAGAAATTTTTTTGCCAGTGATCGAATACTTTCAATTATTTTGTGTAATATTTATGAAATTGATTTTATTCTTTTATATTATTGAAAAACTTCTCATGAAAAATACAAGTATCATTATGATGGTAAACTCGATGACAGCTGTAATATTAAAATATTTCTTTAAGTTTTTAATAATATTAAAATATTTCTTTAAGTTCAAGTTTAACGACTCTCTGATTGATATCATTATAAGATTGGCTCACTATAAATAAAAAAATTTAATACACGAAACTAAGTATTTTTTTTCTACCTGGTATATTTTAATATTTGATAGATTTAAATTAAAATATAATAAACATCAATACATTTAAATAAGTGACGGATCAAGGGGGTGGGGTTGTTGGTATGCATCCCCCCACCAGTATCTGAAAGTCCTAAAATATCTTAGAATTTGAGATACTTTTTTTTTAGAAGACGCAAATGCTGTTCAAAATACAAAAATATTTCAACATCTCCCAAACCCCCTCCCACCAAATATTCCTGGATCCGTCACTGATCTAAATAGAAATTAAATTAAAAATGTTATCAGGTTCAAAGGAACACGTAGTGGTCTGAAAAATTTGATATTTGAAGAAAATTAAATTTTTCAGACCACTTTTGATGATTAGATACTAAGTCGATCATTTAGTGTCTCTCTTTTAAGATTGATATGGGTAAAAACAGTTCAAAATTTAATTCATATGTTTAAGATGTTTGGTAACTATTAACAAGATTTTTGACAATAAATTTTAATTTTAGAATTTTATTACTGAGATCTCTAAAATGTAAATAAACTGATTTTTTTAAATTAGTTTAATTATGAGTTTAGTTTAAAAAATAAAAAATTCCACTAGATTTCATGGTAGTTTTGATATTTTCCCTCTAATAGGTATAAATGAAAACAGAAAAAATAAAAATCATTTGCCCTAACTTGTCCCAATTAAAGCAAGACCTTTTAAATACTTCGTTTTTTTTTTTTTGTTTTTTTTTCCCCGTTTTTAATTAAAACTTTAATTAAAAGTAGCGAATAATAGTTCGTTGCTTACATTCATCACACAAATAATACATTTAGTTCTATTAGTAAAAAAACTCATGTTCAAGCAAATGGTGCTAATTATCAAACCTCAAAAACCAAAATATACAACATTTAATGGCATAGTGCAAGATTAAAACTTGTGTATAAAATAACTAACAATAGTTCATTGCTTACATTCAACATGAAAAGAATACATTTAGTTCTTATAATTCAAAAGTTGGAAATTAATCATAATAATTTACTCGAGGCTCTTCTAAGTGAGTTTTGTAGGCTGTAGGGTCTTTACTATGAAAGTATTGACAATAATAATATTTAAATGTAAATTCCGATCAAAGTTGCTAAAAATATTCAAGAACTTTTAAGACACGACTTATTATCACAACTTAGATCAAGACTTTTAGAACACGAGCGAACTTGGTTGAACAAAGATGTAACTGTTGACAAAAAAAACTTTGCAGCAGGTCCAGGTAGAAAGTAAAAGAACAAGAAGATTTTGGGTATAAAAGCAAAAGATCTAAGGTAATAATAAATCAATTAAATTTAACTCAGTTAAGAAAATAATTTACAAGCTTAAATATTTAATATTATCTTGTTTAAGGTAGCCAAATTGGCTGAACATCCTGCTAAAGCATTGGCATTATTTTTAATAAAAATAGCCACTAGAGATCCTAAGAAAAAAGATTTCGTTGTTCTCATAAAAAGTGCTACAAACTCTGAAAAAGATTAAATCACGGAGATAAATTTTCCGATAAAATTAAAAACCGAAGATTCTTTGAGCTTAAAAATTCAGTGTGACCTTTCTGATGTACAGTATCAAATTATTAGAAATTCATTGACAATACATAATGCAGGTATTTATTCTTCACTTCATCAAATTAAGAATGAGAAACACAAATGTTATCCTGATAGTTAAATTGTGACAGAAACATCTGCTTCAACTCCTGTACAGAGTATGTTTAATCATACTCTAACAAAGATATTAACTTAAACGGAATGCCAAGACTCTATGAGAATGTTTGCTGAAATTGGGGGGAGGTTTAAAGGTCTACTTCAGTCTAAAGGTGGTTTTGATGGTGTCTCCAGTCAAAGTGTCTATAAACAAAAATATACTGATGTAAACATTGGTGAGGCTCAAGTTAACGAGCAAAGTCTTTTCCAGACAGCTACTTTTCTACTTAAATTCGTGAATAAAAAAAATCATGAACAAAAATGCATGGTTAAATAAGAAGTCCTCTAGAACACAATACTGTAGACCCCTAAATCTCTAATTTCAAAAAGAAACGGAAGAATTGATAAGAAATTAGTATGAACTTTTAAATACAAAAATGAATAGACTAGTCAAGTTTGAGGTAAAGTTAGAGTAAGAGAAAGGCAAACCGAATACGACTATCACATTTAATTCAAACTAGATTTAACCATGTTTGATGGTGAAGTCTGTCCTCCCAATCATGCAATGTTTGCGGAGCTAAGCCCAGTGAACTTATTAACCCAGCATGGATCAGATCTAAACCAATCAATAAACTAGCTTTATCTTCGGGCCTTTCTACTATGCATTGCTGACTCAGATGTTTTGAATATATTTTACATTTAGTATATAAGGTAGACATTAAAAACTACTTACTTTAAAAAAATTTTACTACATTAAAAACTACTACTTTGCCAAATCCCTTGCTGAAAAAGCATAAGTAAAATGTGAAAAAATAAGAACATTCAACTGAGAGGATCTAAGTCTTATAGTTGATATGCCCAAACAGGGTTTTAACAACACTAACGATGGAAACACTGCCAGAAGGGCATTAGAAATTGCTGAGACTTTTGCATATAACGGGAGTGGCAGTAGATGTAATTATTAGATTGAGGACAATCCTAATATTAGTATACTCCTGTTATCTGAGGCATTAAAACGGACATCCATTAAAAATTTTTAATAACAACATTACTAATCCATTAAAAACGGCAAAAAAAAAAAACCAATAAAAAACCCTTGCTAGAAAATAATTAATTAAGTTTTAACCCAGTGGGCACACGACGTTATTTCGACGTCGATTTACAGTTGATTTTTAGTCGCGACATCGTATAACCAAAAATCAACGTTGTATCAACGTTGAAAAATTTGTTTAAAACTATCAATTAAAATCGGTTGATTCCACGCCTATTTTACTAGTACGACCGTTCGTAATTGCAATATGAGAACTAAACTACACATGCGTGACTTTAAAATTTTTTATTTAGCATAACCAAGGCGTACTTAAATAACAGGCCTTCTCATCGCGCAACGGCTTAAAAAATGTGGAGGCTGAATTAGTTAGCGGCAAAAGTTACTACGAATAACTTGTATCCCTACCAGAAGACTTAAAAATGCCCAGAAAATGTTGTGTTACTGGTTGTAATTCTAACTATGACTCAGTAAAAGATAAGACAACTACTTTCAGATTACCGAGAGATCCAGTAGAGCGTCTAAGATGGATTAAAGCAATCCCAAGAGAAAATATACCAGACAAACATGACACTGTAGTTTGTGCAAAACATTTTCCACCAAACTTCCAAGTTATTAAAGTAAAAGGAAGAGAAAGACCTCGAGATCCACCTAGTGTATTCGAACAAATACCCAAGAGTTTAGTGCCAACTCCTCCACCAGAAAAAAGAACAACAACAAAATCCAAAAGCTCTGTAAGATCAATAAAAGAAGATGAACTTTCAAAATTCGAAGAGCTTTACAAAATTAATTCATTCGAAAATTTTTGTAATTCGTTATCTCTAGAAAAACTTAATGATTCAGTTGTTTATTATAATTGTTTAAATAGCTGTTGTATTCAATCAAAAGAGCATGAAAACAATACTGGTATTAATAAATTTTGTTTAATAGTATTTAATGACTTATCATATGAAGCCTATCATGCTGGAGTAAGATGCACTATTGCTTCCTTAGTTAAAATAAGTTCAAATGTTGGTCGCAAGTTCATGAGGCATTACGATATTTGATTTCCTTTGAAAAGTCAGAAAAGAAAACAGTTTTAATTCAGCAATTTGAATGAATGAGTAACATGAACTCAAGTAATATTCTTAAGCAAAAATATTCGCCTGAAGTAATTGTTCGAGCTTTTGAGTATACAATCAATTTTTATACAATCAATTAAGAAATGATTTTCAACTTCCTAGTATTGCTACCCTTACACGTTTAACTTCAAAAGTTTCACACTTTGATGATAATACTTTTATTTGTAGTGTTTTTTCAAAACTCAACAATGGTCAAAAACAATGTATACTATTATTAGATGAAGTTTATGTTAAACCTATGCTAACTTATCATGGAGGACAGTTGTTTGGTAAAGCAGTAAATGATGAATAAAATCTTGCAAAAACTGTATTGGCTTTCATGGTTGTATGTTTTTATGGAGGACCAAAATTTTTAGTTAAAATGTTACCAGTAAATAATTTAGATGCAGATTTTTTATATGATCAAACTATTATCTTAATCAACCAAATTACGAAGGCAAATGGAAAAGTTATTGCTTTAATTAATGATAATAATAGAGTAAATCAAGCATTTTTCAAACGATTTGATTGCATATTTCCATGGTTAACAACTGATGGCATTTTTTTACTCTTTGATTTTGTGCATTTAATAAAGTGTATACGAAACAATTGGATAACTGAAAAGTCTGGTGAAATTGAGTTTAGTTATAGAGGAAAAAAATATAATGCTAAATGGGATCACATCAAAAAGCTTCAAAAGTTAGAAGAAGGTGAATTGGTTAAAATGTCTAAGTTGACTTATGTTGCTGTTAACCCAAGGCCAATTGAGAGACAAAAAGTTGATACATGTTTAAAAGTTTTTTGTGAAGAGACTATAAATGCATTAAAGTGTCATCAAGGTATGAAAGATGATGATATTGATGGAACTATTATTTTTTTAACTAAGGTGGTTCAATTTTGGAAAATAGTCAACATTAAAAGTCCATCCGAAGAAATCCATTTAAAAGACAACTTACGAGCTCCCATATCATATGTTGATGATTTACGATTAAATGATTTAATTGAGTTTTCTGAAATGTTAAAGCCAACATTGATTCAAGGAAAAAGAATTAGAAGTATAACCATGGATACAAGCAATGCATTATATCAAACTTGTAATGGTTTAGTAAGTAAGCATTTGTTAGACAATTCTCAAATGTATGTACTGCTTGGGAATTTTACAACAGACCCCATAGAAAGAGCATTTGGAAAACTCAGACAAGGTAGTGGGGGAACTTATTTTATAAATACTCAACAAGTAATTGAAAAGTGGAATATCAACAAAACCAAACTATTTCTTTAGAAAACTATCAACATTTCAAGTGCTGAGTTTACATCTGGTCATATTTGTGATAATTGTTTTAATAAACTTTCAAAAGATGAGTGTGAGATGTTTAATCATTTACATGAACTTTTAAACCAACTTTCATCGAATATTAAGTCATCTTTAGTTTACATTGCAGGTTATATTTCTAGAAAAGACAATGAAGATGATAACGATGACACTTATCTGTATTATAGTAATTATGGAAATTTTACATCTGCCTTAGATCGTGGTGGTCTGAAAATACCCAGTGATACATTTTGTGAATGGGTATTCTTAAGTTACATTTTGTTTAATTTTGTTGGCACATCAAACTTTTGTAGATATTCTATGTCCTGCTTATTCATGGATATTGCATGTATTTATGGTTTCACCATAATTACATGAAACCATTGTTATATTCTTACAAATATATTATTTAACTATTTTTGCTATATGCATTCACCTGCATCAGACAAGGAAACCAAAGTTAAAGCTTTAAAACTGTTTTGTTAGCTTTTGTGAATAAATATACCATAAAAAGTTTCCAATTTAACTTTAGATGATATTTCGTTTAAAAATTGTTAATTTATATTTTTACTTTTTAATTCTTTCTGTTAATGTTTCATTGTATGCAAATACATAGAAGTAGCTTGGTTATCTTTTGTTATTGTTATTTTTGAATTTACAAGGTGTTGTTTTTTTTTTACTTTCTTGACAAAATAACAATTATTTTTGTTTTATAAACGTTTTTGTAATAAAAATATCGACTTTTTTATAAAATGATAAAATATTATTTAGTAAAAAATGGCATGGTTTAAGCCTTACATTCTTCTTATCCTTAGTTTTTTATTTAATCAGGTTATGCATTTAGAGAAATAGACTAAAATAATCAAATCACAAGCTCCTACTATATTGTTAAAAGAATTTTTAAATATTTAAAACTTAAAAAAAAAATTGTTTAGTAGTTGAGAGCATCAAAACCAAATCAGCCTCCACATTTTTCAAGCCGTTGCGCGATGAGAAGGCCTGTTATTTAAGTACGCCTTGAGCATAACAAATAACAACTAACAAGTTATATATAAAGACTTAACAAGTTATTTATTAGCCCAATAAAAACAAGTAAAGTCACACATGCTAATAATTAGGCCATCTGTTGCCTTTTTATAAGGTTTTGAATTTGGCAATTTAACAATAACACATGGCTTAACTCGTGATGCAGTTAGTTAGGTAAATATTAAATAGATATTTCTTTATGACCGTATTATTTCATGAGTGTAGATTATAAGTAGAGATTACTTGAATTATTTTTACAGTTTTTTAAGTAAGTTTTTTTTTAGTAAGGGTTTGATTAAATTGTTTTACTTTGTATGTTAGTATATTTGACTATACTTGTTTATATATATATATATATATATATATATATATATATATATATATATATATATATATATATATATATATATATATATATATATATATACGTGTGTGTGTATGTATATTATATATATATATATATATATATATATATATATATATATATATATATACATCATTGGTCCAAATAAATCTTTTTTTGCGAAAAACTGGCTAGTTTTTTGCAACTAAATATTATTTCTCTGGTCAGTATTCGAGAGCGATTATATATATATATCTATATCTATACATATATATATATATATATATATATATATATATATATATATATATATATATATATATATATATATATGTATATATATATATATATATATATATACGTGTGTGTGTGTATATATACATGTGTGTGTATATATATAAATATATATATATATATATATATATATATATATATATATATATATATATATATATATATATATACATCATCGGTCCAAATAAATCTTTTTTAAAAACTAAATATTATTTCTTCAACTAAATATTATTTCTCTGGTCAGTATTCGAGAGCGATTATATATATATATATCTATATCTATACATATATATATATATATATATATATATTTATATATATATATATATATATATATATATATATATATATATATATATATATATGTATATATATATATATATATATATATATATATATATATATATATATATATATATATATATATATATATACGTGTGTGTGTATATATACATGTGTGTGTATATATATAAATATATATATATATATATATATATATATATATATATATATATATACATCATCGGTCCAAATAAATCTTTTTTTGCGAAAAACTGGCCAGGTTTTTGCAACTAAATATTATTTCTCTGGTCAGTATTCGAGAGCGATTATATATATATATATATATATATATATATATATATATATATATATATATATATATATATATATATATATACGTGTGTGTGTGTATATATACATGTGTGTATATATATATAAATATATATATATATATATGTATATATATATATATATATATATATATATATATATATATATATATATATATATATATATATATATATATATATATACATCATCGGTCCAAATAAATCTTTTTTTGCGAAAAACTGGCCAGTTTTTTGCAACTAAATATTATTTCTCTGGTCAGTATTCGAGAGCGATTATGTATATATATATATATATATATATATATATATATATATATATATATATATATATATATATATACGTGTGTGTGTATATATACATGTGTGTATATATATATATATATATATATATATATATATATATATATATATATATATATATATATATATATATGTATATGTATATATATATATATATATATATATATATATATATATATATATATATACATCATCGGTCCAAATAAATCTTTTTTTGCGAAAAACTGGCCAGTTTTTTGCAACTAAATATTATTTCTCTGGTCAGTATTCGAGAGCGATTATATATATATATATATATATATATATATATGTGTGTGTATATATATATATATATATATATATATATATATATATATATATATATATATATATATATATATATATATATATATATATATATATATATATATATATATATATATATATATAGGGAAGAGTTGCCCTAATTGGAACAGTTAAGAATAATTATTTATTAATCTAAGATGGCTTTTTACTAACTAATAAAAAGTTTTATTGTGTTGAATTTGTGTATGAAAATGGATGATGTTTTACAAAATAATGATTTATCAAGCTTTTTTAACAATCCATGTGATTTAAAGAGTTTGAATAGTTTTCATATTAAAAAAAAAATTATCTGTATGACAAATGCATTATAAATAAAGCAGATTTTTCTTGTAAAGCTGTATAAAAAAGAATTTGTCCTTTAATCCATGATATTGGTTGGTAGAAGGATCAACATAAATATTTAGCAAATTTTAGCAACTATATAATGTATCATAATGTACAGTTTAAAGTTGTATTTTTCTGTTAGCTATTTTACATGAACAAATTTTTAATATATGATTATTTTTTCTATCATATTTTCTACTATACTTTTCCAGTTGAAAAAGTATAGTAGGGCAAGCAAGATGTACATTCGAGCTGTTTGGATAGAAAATACAGAGAAATAGAGAGAGAAAATTCGATTGATAATTTTATTGTGCTGGCCATCATCAATAAATGTAATAAATTGTTTCAATAAAATGCATTAAATGTCATG